ATGCACAAGAATCTAAACTCTGAGTTTGAAATTATTACGTTTATAAATCAAAATTACTTAAAATTCCCAGATTAGAGTTCTGGAGAAATTCCTGATCTAAAACTTGGAAATTTCACATTTTGAAGTTCCATTTTCAAAATTATTAACATTCCCATTTGAAAAAATATAAATTTGTAAAAATATTCCAGAATAAGACAAGATTTCATCCTGTCATTGTAGAATTTTTTTTATATTTTTTCTTTTGCTTTTTTTTAATTGCACTTTTTTAATAAAGAGAACCGATAAGAAATACATGTGAAATAAAATTTGAACGGTGTAAAAATCTCATTAAACTTAGAAATTTCTAGAACGCAAGTCGATTTTTGTAGCTTGAGAGTCTCATATTTTGAATTCAGAAAGCAAATTCCATTTTACGAAGTCCTGTAAAATTCAAATTTTTTTAAGATTGTTAAAAAACTCAAAATTCCCCCATTTTATTTTCAGAAAGTTAAAATACTCGAATTCAAAATTCAGACTTAATTAACGATGTTAATTAATTGGAACTTTGTATATAATTTCGATCTATTAAAGCTCATTTTTTGAACTAAAAAGTGGTGAATTTTCTGATTAAAAATCAAGCTAGGTCAAAGTTACAAAATTCAAATAAAGGAAAAATTTCAGTCTTAAAATTTTGAAAAATCAGAATCAAATTAACAAATCGCAATTTCAAAATTTTCAGGTTATTAGGAGAATTGTTAAAAAAATCCAATTGAAATTTACAAAAGTTTGAATTTTCAAAATTCAGAATTTCCAATTCAAAGCGCAAGAATTTCAATTCTGCGTCAAAATTTCCAACTTTACAATCGGATTTCCGAATTTGGACGTTAGAATTTTAAATTAGAACTAGAATTTTTAGAAACTTGAAATTTTAAAGCTTCATGTTTAGAACTCGAGTCGATTTTTGTAGCATGAGAGCCAATTTTTTTACGAAGTCCCTTTCAATTCAAAACCTCAAAATTCACCCATTAAAATACTCGAATTAAAATTCAAAATTCAGACTTAATTAACGATGGATGTAAAAAAAATATATTTTCGATTTATTAAAGTTCTTTTTTTGAACTAAAAAGCGGTGAATTTTCTGATTAAATATCAAGCTAGATCAAAGTTAAAAAATTTTTGAAAAATCAGAATTAAATTAATAAATCGCAACTTCAAAATTAGAACTTTCGGAAATCTGAAATTTCGAAGTTCCATGTTTAGAATTCCCAAACTTTGAAAAAATATAAATTTGTAAAAATATTTCAATAATTTTATAGAATTGATATTTTCTCATTTTTATTCACGCATTTTTTGATACTAATCGCCAATGAAAATCTATTTTTGTCCCTAAAAGGAAAATCCTTCGTTACGCAACCCACGAGATAGTACCACCCTGACCTTTAATCTCGTTTAATACCAACTCGGGAAGGCCACTTAGTGGAAAAATAACGCTTTTTTGACCCTTGTCTCGCATTCCATCAACCGGAAATACTCCCAACAACATGTAAACAACACACATGTCGCAATTGTGTATCATCGATCAATGAATCAAAACCGTTTTCAGTGATTATCTCTGTATGAACGAGACGTTGTATACGTTGCATAGTAGAGGAGTTCGTTGCATATAGTAAATGCGTGCGCATTTGGCGGGAGAAGAAGGCGCCTAGACGCAACCATTCAACTCGAAACTTTTTATATTCCAATCACGTGGTGTTATTTCCAAGAGACCGGCCGGTTAAATGACTAATATTTGATGACTGGATTCCGGCGTGTTGCATTCCATTGCCTTTCCATTTTGCTGCTTTTGCAATGGAATTCCACTCAACGCATTGAAAATTTACATTTAAAACAGCTTTTCGCGATAAAACTACATACTAGAAATAGAATCGAAACAGGAAAAACACTAAAAATTGTCCATAACGGAATTGTATTATTTTTATCAAACTTGAAAAATTTTCCAATCACTCACAACCTCATTAATATGTCAGAGGTGAACGCATCCAATTCGAGTTAAATTCGGACATTACGAGCGTCAATAGATAAATATTAAAGTATTAATAGCAAAAAAATTGTGAAATCGTGGTGGCCTTGATGCTTTAAAAAAAAGACACTATAGATCGCACGTTATAAATAATTACATCGCACACCACGACCCGATTTAGACCCTAGTACTTTTTATCGGGTCACAGTTGGCCGCGACGAAATTACGGTGTAAAATTACAATAAAGTGGCCTGTYACTTGTGATTAAATTGGCAACACTGGCTTTATGCAAAAACGTCAATTTTTAATATTTCTACTCTGGTTACTACAACGTGCACTAAAACCTCTATGTAACCATAGTTACGTAAAATGCATGTACAGATTGCTATAGAAATGTAGTGAAACGATTATGGTTAGAAAAAAATACGGTTGTCATAGTAATGATAATAAAACACTCAAAAGCAGCGGCGGGTAAACATTTTTAAACTCAAATTAACAATTTAAATATTGGCTGTTTAAAAATATGAAAAAAAGAATTTTTTCTTTAATATTTTCGTCTTTTTAAGGTATTAATTTTAACAAATGTCAATTTAGAAGTGAAACTGAATAAAAATTCTTGACAGAATAGAAACTTTTACGTAATTAAATAAATAAAAGCATCCAGTTGTTACAATAAGACATTTTTTTCAGTAATGCAAACTTATTTTCTCAATCATAAAATGTTTGGAAAAAAAAACAAGTTATATTTTGAAAATTCTTTCTCCTTTGACGAGTTGGCTATGACACAACTGCATGCATGTACAGAGTGGTTATAAATGATTTTCATCTAGCCAGCTTTGGAATTTTTTTGCATGTAACTTTATTTGTGCCGCTCTACTTTTTTGAAAGCTCTAGTTCTGTCATTAGTGTCACTTATTAATTAATAATAAATGGTTGTTAATTAAACTTTTATTGTTTCAACTAATTTCCAATAATAATTGATAATGATGTATACTTTGGAAGAAAACAAGTTTATAATTGAAGTCTATTTTCGAAGAGGACGCTTATTAAACGGCGATTTTTTAATTTTGAGTTAAAACAAGTAGGTACCCCTATTTTCATAAAGCGGCATTTTTTTATTTTACATGGAAAATTCACAGCTGGCTAGATGAAAATCATTTATAACCACTCTGTAGAAAGGCAGTGGAACAGATATGAAGCCATAGTTACAAAAAAAAATATATAAAAATTAAGTTATCAATGAAACACTCAAAACCAGTGGCGGGTAAACATTTTTAAACTCAAATTCGAAATTTAAACATTGGCTAATTAAAATATCAAAAATGAAATTTTTTCTTAAATATTTTCCTCTTTTTAATGTATTAATTTCAACAAATGTCAATTTAGAAGTAGCAGTGAAGAAAAATTTTAGAAACATTTTATGTAATTAAATAAATAAAAGCATTGCACTTAWTTTTTAAATCATAAAATGTTTTTAAAGAACTTTGAAAATCCTTTCGCCCAACCTTGACGAGTCGACTATGACATGATTCATGTGGTTACTACAAAATGTACTAAAACCTGTATGTTGCTATAGAAATGTAGTGAAACAAGATTTTATTCAGTCATTGTTATATTTTTGTTTTTTTTTTTATAAAATCAGAACTCGGTGTAAAAATCACAGTTTCGGTTTTTTAAAGTTATTCTTTTGGACTGAAAAGGGTTGAATTTTCCGATTATAAATCAAGTCAATTCAAAAATCCAAAAAAACTCTAAAATCCAACTAAGGAAAAAGTCTTGGTATTTTAAGATATCAGAACAACACATTTTCAGATTATTAGTAATTCAGAATTTTAAATTCAAAATGCACGAATCTAAATTCTGAGTTTAAATACAAAAATTTCAAACTTCCGGGTTTAGACATCAGAATTTTAAATTGGAATTAGAATTTTTAGAAATTTGAAATTTTAAAGTTCAATTTTTAGAATTCAAGTCGATTTTTCTAGTATGAGTCTCAAAAAATCAAAATTCCAATCTCTAGGTTACAAGTGAGAAAATCCTTAGAATTCATAATTTTCAAAAAATATTCGTCAGTCGGAATTTAAAATACAAAAGAAAAAAGATTTTGATTGAAATCTGAAAATACGAAAATTCCGAAAATTCGGGTTAAGAAAGCTTCACAAGTCGGAATTGCAAAAAGGGTTTTAAACTTGGAAATTTTCAGAATTCTGAACGCAATAATCGAAATTTCGAATTTAAAAGTCAAAATTTCAAACTTAAAAACCGGAATTCGGAGTTTGAATGTCAAAATTATAGAATTATCACAAATTTGAAATTTTTAGAACGCAAGTCAATTTTTAGAAAAGAAACTTTGACGTAATGAAATAAATAAAAGCATCCAGTTGTTATGAGATATTTTTTCCGTAATGCAACCTCATAAAATATTTGAAAAAAAACTTGTATTTTGACGAGTCGACTATGACATGATTCAGAGTTACTATAGCTTGTTCCAAATCTGGTGGCGAACTGACGTTGTCAAAAATGACTGAATTTTGACACTAAACATATGTTTACTATTAAAAAAAATATTGTTCATAGGCGTCGTATGAAATAATATTTAAAAACCACTGTTATTTTTTTTWWAAATTATAATAAGTAGGTTCTCATACATAAGATGAAGAATAATGAACAAATTATTAAATTGTTAACACATGAAAAGAATTTTCAAACATAATGATAATCCTAACAATCARTGTCTTCAAAATTTTTAAAGAAAAAAAGTACGCCTATGTATTTTTTTTATCTTAAGCAAGTGAGCGCACTCCAATTGTCTTTTCTGTCACTGTCAGTTCGCCACCAGATATGGAATAAGCTCTACAAAATGAATGAATGTAGTGAAACAAGTATGAAACCATAGTTACAAAATTGTAAAAATTACAGTCGTCATGGTAACACTCAAAACCAGTGGCGGGCAATATTTTTTTATAATAAAGCCACAAAAAATGTCAAAAATGGTACTCACCGGAGTCTGAGGGGGTATCGATGCCCAAACTGGCGGAATGCAGTGGCGCCGTCCCCTTATGATAGCTATGATCAGTGGCGGCGTAGAAAGCCCTCATGTCATTTTCATGTTTTCTCTGTTCTTCATCATCTTCTTCTTCCTCCTCTTCTTCCTCCTCCTCCTCTTCTTCGTCTAACCCATCATCGAAGAATCCCCACGCGTCATCATCTTTGAAATAATCGGACAAATCGGCATCGTCGAGTTCATTTTCGGAAAGTGCCGATACCAAACTTTGCAGAATTTGCGTGGGTTTGGTGTCCTCATCATCGGAAATCGGTGGGGTTTGTATCGAGTAGTGCAATGAGGGCATCATCGGCACAACCGTATTCGGATCGACACTCAACTTGAGGTCAGGCTTGAGGAGACTCTGCTGGGGCCCTAGCACCTGCACGACAGGTGTTTTGACATCGCCAGGTGTCGTCTTACTATTACAGCTTCGATTTCCATGGGCGCCTTTGCAGTGGCCATTCCACATGCAGTCGTATTTGACTTGACAGTTTTTCTCGTCGCAGAGGAAGGAGGAGGAGGAGGAGGAGTCGAATGACGATGGTAATGATTGCAGTTGCATTTCTTCGATTTGGAACTGCTTCCAGATGTCGTCCGACAGGAGATAGTCGTCGGTTAACGTCGCGGCGTCGTCAAACTCGATTTTAAATTCAGCCATGGATTCGTCAATTTGGTTCTAATTTAAGTCACTATCACTAATATCACAATTTTGCCCTGACTTGAGGCTCCCGCCGAGACAGCGGCAGCTGCTGGAAATAAAGAAGAAAACATTAGGAAGAGTGCAGCTGCTTTTCTATTACTCATGAATTACCACCGAATCAAAGATGGGGCAAGATCTGGGGGGTTTTATGGTAATGGGCTGCACCCCAGCTTTGATTCGTACGGGACATTTCCCAGACAAGCCCACAGAGTTTGGAAATTTTTTCTAATTTTTTTATTTTCAAAAAAAAAAGGTCAAACACATGGTTTTTAATTTTTTTTTCAACTTTGATACCAAGAAAACTAATACCGTCCAAATTATGAAGAAAAAAATTTGGGTTTCTATTTAAAATTTGAAAGTTGAATAAAACCCAAAATATACTTTGACATTTAAAAAAATTCTAAAGTTGTCAGCTTATACTATACGAAAAACGGTTTAATATATTTTTTTAATTTTTGAAATCGGGCCATAAATAAAAATTCTACAGTGCCTGCCGTGTTATAAAAATCACCTTGTATATAAAAACGTCTCTTGAAAATATTATGCTTTTCACCACCTTTAAAGAAATCACGATGTCAAAAAATGAAATGTGTTGTATATATACAGGGTGAATAAAAAAGTTTGGAACCAAAACTAAAGAAACTAATTGATGTATCATAAAGTATAGTATATATCATGAAAATTGGACGTTTTATCAAGAATATTTTTTTTTTGAAATGTTCTTTTGTTTTTGATTTTTGCAATTTTTTATTTTCTTTAAATGGCAACCCACTACAAAAACATTTTTTTCACAAAGGCTATTATCTAGGGATTACAGCTATCTACTTTAAATTCAATTTTGATCAAAAAAATGTATCACACAAAAAAATCACTTCGTTCAAAAATAAAACAAAATGTCATTCCCAAAAAACGATCACTTTTTTTATCACTTCAATTTCTATTAATTATTATTTTTTTCATTTGGGTCCATACTTTTTATTCACCCTGTATAACATGTTTTTTTTCATTGGCATATTTTTTAAAAATTCATTTTTTTCTTGACGTCAAAAATAACACAAAAATTTTAGTCTTTCGGAGACCCCAAAAATTATCCTTCATCTATTAAGTGTTCAAAGATACATAGAAACTATGTACTCTAGATTTTTATATTTATTTTTTTAATCTTGATACTTTTTATTAAACAATAATTTCTAATAAAAGTGAAACATTTGTACCAAAGAAACTAATACCTTCCAAATTATAAACAAAAAAATGGGTTCCTATTTAAAATTAGAAAGTTGAATATAGCCCAAAATATACTTTGAGATTTTAAAAAATTCCAAACTTGTCAGTTTATACTACATTAAAAACAATTTAATATATTTTTTGAATTTTTTAAATCAGGCCACAAATAAAAATTCTACAGTGCTTGCCATTTTTTAAAATCACCCTGTATATAAAAACATCTTTTGAGAAAATTAAGCTTTTCACTACTTTTAAAGAAATAAGTCTGTAGTATTTCTTAGCAATCACGATGTCAAAAAATGAAATGTCTTATACAGGGCGAATAAAAAAGTTTGGAACCAAAGCTATTCATTTTCTAAAAAAAACTAACTGATGAATCATAAAGTACATATTATAAAAATGGGACGTTTTATCAAGAATATTTTTTTTTGATTTTGATTTTTGTAATTTTTAATTTTCTTGGTAACCCACTACAAAACCATTTTTTTCATAAAGGCTATGATCTAAGGATTACAACTATCTACTTTATATTCAACTTTGATGAAAAAAATTTTCATATAAGTTGTTCACAAAAAAATCACTTCATTCAAAAATAAAGGAAAATTTCATTCTCAAAACACAAATCACATTTAATAATTTTTTTGAAGACCCCAAAAATTATCTTCATCTATTCAGTGTTTTATTTATTTTCGGAATAATTTTGTCATATTTCTTGAATTTTGACAAATCGAAAAACTTTTGTACAGTATTTATTATTTGTTCAGTTTTATTAAAGCACTCAGCTTGGCTTCGTGCATCAATATTAAAACCTCATATTGTAAAATTGTTATTATTGTTATCTTATTATTATAAATAAATTACTTGTCTATATATATTAAAAATAGAAAGCTAATTGTTCAGAACTACATATTTAGTGTTTTTATTATCTCTAATGTTTGTGTTTTTGCATTAAACATGGGCGCTGGTAGAAACTTTTCCCAGAGGGGGGCAACATAAGAAAATTGCAATTTGAACAATTTCTGGGTTGTATACAAATTTTTTTCTAATTTTGTTAAATTGTTGTCTCTCTSTTGTATATTGGGCTTTTAACAATTTTTACTTATATAAAAAAAATCTTGTGTTCTCCAAGCTGTATCATCATCCTCTTACGAAGAAATTATCATGAGTCACGCAATCAATGGAAGGCGGGAAAATCTGTGCAATGTTAAATGTACTCAAGAAATTAGAATCGTGATTATYTATGAATAAAAAAATTCATATTAATGTGATAAAACCAAGGCCGTCTTACTACTAACAATTTTTCATCAAATTTCATTATTTATCCAACACAATAAGTTTATTTAAATAAAAAYTACACTCRGGCGCCGACCATAATCTATGAACACGTGCAACAAATTCCAAGAAAWATGGAATTACAAAACTTSAGATAAAAGGGTTGAAAATCAACCACTAACAAGCAAAAAAATTATTTATCACATTGGCTTGGCAGACACGTGTCCTTGAAAGGATATTTCCCCTGAAAAATCTAGTAACCGAATTCGCTTGCACGTGTTTATTTTGGGGCGTTTTTGTCACTTTTCCAGTGCATCCAATCGTTAATTTTTTCTAGGAAAAAATCACCAAGGTCGTAAAAACAACTTTTTCAATCGGGCGGTGAATGTGAAACATATTGTAAACGTGTCTACTTCCGATGAAAGTTGCACCTACACAAGTAATTGCTTTTTACTCTACCATATGTGAAATTTCGAAGTTTCGTCGACATTACGCCCATCTTCAGACACAATAATGTAGATCTAGTTAGTAAATGTCTAAGACCGGGTCGATGGCGGCAACGTTGTGTAATGATTGAAATTGTCGGAATTCGGAATTTATGACCGAATTTGTTTAAAAAATTGATTTATTTAAGTGTGGCGTTGAATAAACTTGTTGCACAATTTGGCGGCGTCGCCGCATCGCATTATTAGAATCAAGTGACAAAATGTCAAAATGACTTACCTTAAAGCTACGAGGTATTCAATAAAGCACTTCTCGTACAGTTTTTACAGTTTTTTTCGGACACACGGTGTATGTAACACAAAAGCGATCGACGAAAATATGAAACACACGTTATTATTAACAAAACCACTCTCCTTAATCTCTATGAGCAACTTTGTATACATGCTTATGAAAAATATCTCTTGGAGAGACCTGAACGCCTGAGAGCTAGAACGGCCCAACAAATACTGAAGAAATGAGCACATTGCACGCCCCGGCATCGAGCCGGCTTTGGATGATGGGCGGTWGACGAGGTTAGGAGACCCCCCGCGCCGCCCAAGACCAGGGCGTTTTCGCCCAAAACACGACTATTAACCCCACTTTCAACACCCTCAACTGTCTTTCGCACAATACAAGAACGGTTACACCGATTTTGACAACACAAACCGGCTGTCGATGCGTACTTTCAGTGAAATTTGACGATAATTCGCGTACTACTTTTCGCAGCGGAGCGGTATGACGCCATTCAGGGGTGTACAAATCACAGCGATCAAGGATGCGCAAACTTGGATGCGGATGTTTGCGCGCGCCAGGGGCGGATTCACGGCTTTGGGCCCCATCACACAAAAAAATTTTTAGAAAAAAATCACCCGCCACTGCAATTTTTAATTGTTACTATGACATTTTTCGAGTGTTAGCATAGTTACATGCGTGTTTCCATAGCAACGATACAGACCGGGACACATGTGCGACTCGTTTAGGATGAAAAAATGAGTTGTTTATAATTTATTTCAGAATTTATCAATTATTGTCACTGAAATGTGCTTCGGAAAAGTTTCAGCTTTKTAATTCTCAGAAATACTGAAACATAATAGGTATTTTATCCCTATGGCACCTGAGGTTCCAGACAAGTTTCTAATTTCTTTATAATTTGAATTACAGTCACATTTTAGCCCTCTTGAAATAATAATTATATTACAACAATAGCTTCGATGAGTGCAATTGGTAATAAATATTGTTGCTATCACTTCATGAATATTTTTCTCTTAATAATTTCCTATTGCACAACATTACTCATTGTTACTGATAATTAAAATAAAAAGAGTCATTGTGCACGAATCACAAAATACAGGGTGCGCCAAAACTCGCGTCCCAGAGAAAAATTTCAAGTAAGATAAAATACCAGGAACAAGGAAGAAATGTTTAAAAAATTCTCTGTCAAAAAATTTTGACATTTCGTTTTTGACATTTGACATTTCTCTATTTTTATTTTTTAACTCTTTTTTAAGACTTCAATTTCTGGTTTTCAATTTCTGGTTTCCTGTAATTTTCCCAAATTTTCGTTTTAAGTTTATAGTATGAAATAAGTAACGGTTTTTTTTTTGTTCTCAAAATTCTGGTTAATTTTGACTTGAATTAACCCAATGACCTTTTTATTTTTATTTATTTGAAAATTTTTTTATTGGAAATTTTTTTC